TCCCGTGTCTCGTTGAGAGTTTCCCCAAACACTTCACGACACAAAGATACCTTGCCGCAAACTGCAATTCTTTGCAACTTGCGAAAATTCACGTCCGCCTGGCCGCTGCGGCCAAAAGTGTACGTGCCACGAATGTGTAACGTGATATAGCCAAACTGTTCGTTCACTATTGTGGCTGCTCTTTGCCGCGCTTTGAAGTAGAGCTCAAGTTGTTGTTCTAGAGCTCTCATTTCAGAGAATTCCGCCTCTGTTTTAAGCCTTGCAATCTCGCGGAAGTCGTCCGGGAGGTGTAGTTTTCTGGTTCGAAGAAAATCCAGAATATAACGAAATAGGGACCCATCGCGATCTATGAAATATTTCCCGGACTGGTCTTTTTCCACATGTTGCCTTCCGCTGAAAATGCGTCCAAGAAGCGAGTCGGGTTCCCTTGTTAGCGTTAGCACAGAAGTCGAGTAAAATTTTCCACCAACGTTCAACTCAATGTTTTCTGGGAACAAAAAACAAAACAGTCGAATTGTTGTGTGTGAATCGCAGCCGCCATATTCACTACGATATTTTTGCCACGAACCCAGCTGTATGTAAGTCGCGGGTTTATTTGTTTTCACGACAGCGAATAAGCGACAAGTAAGTGAAGAGTCGAATAGATTATCATCTGCAACGTGTTGTGTTTGATTTTATAGCTTTCCGCCGGAGAATAATTGACAGCTCAATGGGCAAAAAATTAAATAATATTAGTCGTGGATAGGTTTTCAAGACAAACTTGTTTGATGGCCTGTCCCTTTGACGCGCGAAACAAAAGCGGACGTTCACAGAATGAAAACAACAGCGTGAAACAGGCTTTTATTGACCAAGTTTTCGGATTTTAAAATTCCAAATAAATTAGGCTTGGCTAATCTTTTGCCGGCAGGTTTATTGGGTTACTTCAATTCAATCCAAAAATGACAGCTCGCAAAAAAAGAAAAGAAAAGAAAACACCCTAAAGGACTCGGAATTTTTTTCCCTAGTAGCCACGGCACTTTAAATACAGATTAACCTTATCCTCACTTTGTTATTACCTTCTTGTTATTGTTTGAATGAACGACTATGCTTGAATAATTAAAGAAGGACGACTAATATCGCATTGAAATCTGTAAGTTCCGTTTGCCGCGCCAAAAAAAGTAAAGGAAAAATGCGGATTTTTCATGTTTGTTGGTTTTCATACCAGCCTCTTCTCTGGTTACTGCAGAGAGATGTACATCTTCTCTCGCCGAGTAAGCGACTGAAATTCATCCTACGTGACATATTCAAATTACTATTCCTTAAATTCAAACGATATTGGATCGCAAATCAACAGAACAGTCATAAATGGCAGATATTCTACTTTGATAGCGAGTGAGTTTCAATTATTCGTCATCAGTAATTTTCATTCCACAAAAATGACTGATAATGTCAACATAAGATTTGACGAGCTGAAAGTGATTTTTTTTGTCATAAATCGCACACACGCTTAAACCCCATCGTTCTTTTTCGTTCCTAATAACGGCCCGAGATTGTGCTTTACTCAGAAACCTTCGACCATATGATCGTGGAAGAGCTTTCTGCTTTTTGCACAGGGTACGTATTAAGTCACTGAGTTGAGACACCTCCGGTGATAAAATTTTATAGGGTGCATGCACTTTCCATCCATCCACCAAAATTCCATCCGCTTAAAAGAAAAATGCGTAATTATTTTGCTGAATTTTGAATTATCTTCACTTTACTTCCAATCTACTTTCCAATCTTTGATAGTCCTTTTCGATCAAATTAAATCTTTTATGGAACTTCACAGCGATTTTTTTTTGTAATCAAACAGTTGTCCAGTTATTAAAACGCTGCTCACAAACTGCCCCTGGGTCTCCGAGGATGAACGCTAGTGGCAATTAAGCTCTCTACAAAACCTGAATCAAAATCATAATAAAAATATTCACTTTTACAGGAATTTCATTTAATCATGTTACAGTATGATTCGCTTTTTAATTTATGTATTTGTATGTTGTTAATCCATTTCCTATTGTTAATGTTTCAACTGTGAAGTTCCAGGAACAGTTTTCTAGCCAGCCAGAGCTGCGGCGAAATTGAATCCATTAGCAAAGCACAACGGAACGCTTACAAGAAGAATCGTTTTACTAATTAAAGAGTATACAAAAAACAGCCGTCACCCATCACTTGATGAAGTCGCTCTCATAAGCCGGCATTTATCAAAAAGAAGCGTTTCTATTTTTTCCAGCCCCACACAATGCGAAATTATAGTAACGTGATTGAAGTAAAGGAAGACTTTCGTGTTAATTTTGTAAAAACTGTACATTCAGAAGTACAAAAACAATTGTGCGAAACCAATTACATTTCATTCATTTACTTAAAATGTTTAATGAAATATATAGCGTCTAAAACCAATTTTCAGGAAAAGGTTTGGGCTTAATTGACCCAGAATGCTAAAGTGTACATTTAATCTTACAAATGTACAAAGAGCATTTGTTTGAATTTATCAGATAACTTGGTTTAAACTTACATGTAAGTGAATTTGAAGTCAAGCTGTGAAACCGGTCAAAAGAAAAAGTACCAAGAAAAATAATAGATTTTCAGCTTAACGTATCTTAAATATCACGATTAACATATTTCATTTTAAACCTTTTAAGGTGCCTATCTTTTTACATTTAATGATAAGAAGGTGGCAAACAAATGATTTCAAACTTCAACTATATTAAAAGCACACTACTCTGTTGTGGTAGTAAAACTACATAATTAATCCTTTACTTACACTTAGCTGAATCTAAAACAATGAATAATGTCCCAAGTGCTTATAAAACCACTACACTGTACAAAATATTTGTTAGGTTTTCCCATAGTTTGATATCTAGCTATAGAGGAGGAATACATATTACAAAGCGAGGAAAAACATTCTAAGATAAAACCAGAATGCCATTTAGTTATTTCTTTTTCACTGCTGGGACACTGAGTGTTATTAAATGCATTAACCAACAAATTCCGGAAATTTCCATTGGAAGTCAAATGGATCATAAAATTATACGAAAAACGTTTTACAGTTGAAGAGTACCTTAAGAGATAAACCTCTTTTTCCTATTAAAACGAAACATCGGAAAATTATGAACCAGGAATTGATTGTTTCTCCTCCTTCCAGGCTCCCTTGGGGGCATTCGCACGGAAATTTTAAGATCCAAGTTCAACCAAAATTGTCCGCAAAAGTTGTGGGAAAATGGTAAGTGGGCTAACAGCCTTGAGTGTTTTGTCCAAGTAGCAAATATGGTTCAATTTTATAACAGTTCCTCCAAATGGATCGTTGAAATGTGAACCACCCACAAGATTAATGCGGGTATATCTTGTATTCAAGTGAAAACAAAGGACAGAAAATAAAATTGTTCAAATGAACAGTCAACTTCTTTCAGGGCCAGCTGATTGAACTGGAGAAGGAACTAAATGATTGAAGCACTCCAGAGACCAACTCCTCGTGTCTGCCGAGTGGACTCAAGCTTAGAGAGGTGTTTACAAAATGGCACCATGAACTTTTTCTCTTGTAATTCACCTCAGACGGCGCATTTTGGCAGTAGCCAAGATTTTGTTTGAAGTGTGAAGAACCGTGCAGCAGAAATTTTCAATTTGAAAGTAACGTTGTAAATCAAGAATTGAATCACGTATCGTGAACTAAGTATCACATCTGTTCACTATGAACAAAATTAATGAGCCTAGCTTTCAATGGTGGCCATCTGCTCCGTTGTTCAGGCATTTCTATTTATCTCCATTATTCCNAAGACTGACCTACACGGAACCACTAGTGTACATTTAATAAATTAAAAATGGCTACTTTGTAAATCTGCAATCTTGTTTTTGTCTTGTTCGTAAGCATACTTGTCTAAATTTGATTGACTAATCCTTTCTTTTATTGAAGAAATTTTCAATTTGAAAGTAACGTTGTAAATCAAGAATTCGAAAAGGCAGGAACTTTTGATGTACATATAGGCCACTCTGCGGTAGCAAGTTTCGAACAGCAAATATGTGATCGCTTTGGCTCATGGGAACTGACGTCCGTCACTCAGTCCCAGTACTTGATGAGTCCATCCCAGCCACAGGTCACCACCTTGGATATTTCGTGAGGATGCCACAGGCAGCTTATGCACACTGCGTCGTGCGCTTTGAACTTGCTGGGGACGATAAGCGAACAACAAAGTGAGAGAGAACCTCAAACATATAGGGAGAAAAGACCCTGCCACTTTTTCAAATTGGCCATTTAGTTTTTATTAGATTATCCTGCGTAGCTAATCTGAGTGGAAAACACTCTGCTGACCAGACCCAACCAGGTCAAAATAGCTTTCCAGTGTTTGATTTTTGACTTTCAGTTTGGACTCTATGATTTCGTTGTCACGTTTAGTTTTTTTATTATTATTATTATTATTATTTCTACTCAGAGTGATCATTCGATGATTACTCTGAATCTAGCTTTACACTCGAACCCCAGAGGCAAAGGTTTTTGGAAGTTGA